TCCTTTGATGGCATTTCCGTTCGGAGTTGTCGAACCATTATCCTTGTGCTTTCGTGCTCTGGTTTTTGTTATTACTTTTTTGGTTTTATGCTTATCGGTTATTGGAGAATGGAGTCAAGTGAGACGGAAATCCGAGAGGACTTCCTAGACTGATACAACTCACGGGTATCAAGAAAATGAGTCTATGCACGTGTGTCACCGTTTACGACACTCAATCATGTCACCCTTGTCTCTAATCAATGCATAGACTAGTCCTCAAACTTCTAACTGGTTAATTTGACGCAGCCTTGTCAAGGGTTTCGTATCAGATCATAGTCTATCTAGTCGCTAACTTCAAATAATTTCTACATGTTACGTCCAACACCACGCACCTGGGGAGACTATCCGGTGACGTGCATAACACTTGCCTAAGTCACCAAAATCTGTTGTGGTGAAATACTTGTGTTAGTGCGTAATCACGAGTATCTAATAATACTCTTCGCTCAGCCTCGGGATTACTCGTCAGGTTATCCCACTAAACTCGTGCAACGTGGCGTAGACACCAATGTTCAAACAACGGTAACCTGCTTTTGTCTTCTATTGTGAATAACCGTGTCTATACGCTGTATAAATTGAAGTGACCAGGCAGGTGTAGCACACACACACACACACACACACACACATATATATATATATATATATTCACACACTTGTCTGAGGACAGACTATGTGCCAAGCAAATCATGGTACAAGAATCTTTATGAAAAAGAAAAACGATCCATGAGTTGCATGTGGGTTGAATACTGCCAGGTTGCCCAGGCCAAGGCAGGTGAATTTTCTTGGGGAATCCACAACCGGAGCCTTCGGCTAGCCAAAGCCTGACCCGCAAGGCAGCGGGGCGGTGTGTGAAAACCGCAGTTCATTAGGAGCCGGTGTCCAGTTCATCGAATCATACGCCTTTCGAACGGGGTCAAACGTCCAAGGTGCCCAATACACACACACACAACCTTTCACGAGTAGCCCGAATTTCGCGGTTGCTCCAAACGTGTCTGAGTTTCGCTAGCGCCAATCTTAGATGGAACGCTACAAAGGAGTGACTTTTAACGGTAACGATAGTTGTTCGTCAATACATACGATTGTGCACCTGATGTGTATCTTCTCTGTCAATTGTTTGCTTCCAGCACGCAAGCCCCGGGACAGCAGATGACCTACCAAGGCGACAATTTCAGTAAGTCCTGTTTCTTTCAAAACCTTTGTGCGTTTGTAACTTGGAGCCATCCAAAATAGTCTGTCTTATGGTTTACCACTCGAAATTCAGAATAGAGATTTATCTAGATATCTTACGCTCATTACGACCTGATTCAGGCACCCACTCGGGAAAACCTCTTTCTCAAAATTTAGAAGTTGCTTTCTGGAATTCCACTAGAAAGACCGTCATATCTGACTCCACCGGGGCTACAGCAAATGACTCATTACTTATCTGGATAAATAAATAAATAAATAAATAGGAAATAAATACCTCACAATGACGATGCACTGTTCCCCAGTGAGACCAACAACCGATCGGACAGCTAAGCAAGACCCTCACAAGGCAGATGTGGTATCGAGCCGAGCGACAGTGTAACTGTTTACCAGCCAAGTCATGCGGTGTTATTGAGGTTTGAACCTCAAACTGGAGCACACCAATCTCTACGACTTTGACTTTGTGGCCGTCGCCACGCTGCATTAAAATGCATTCAGATCTATCGAATCTTCTTCTGTTATCACGGATTGCAAATTAAAAAGGAAACACCGAACCGATACTGTGGTAAGTCGACTTGCTGTTCCTGTTTCCGACTCGAATATTAGGCATGCAAAATGTTTTTAAGGACATCCTAGCTACCTGAACACAGAACATTGTTGTTCAGTTTAGTATATGTCTGTTCTGCGCATGCCTCATATCTGTCAGAACGCAGCCCCAGAGTTGGACGTAATTAGAGCCGTTGTTCATCCTTTTTAAACATTCACTTTATACAGCTCTTTGTACATCGTCTGGAGTGGGGTCCACCTGTCACCAACCGACAGAAAACAAATGTTCTTAGTAGTTCTCTGATTCGCAACCGCAATTCGAATTCGTCCAACTATAAGTACGCTAAGAAAGGTGTGTGGGATTAGAACGCAGGTTTTGCAGTCGGATAACGGACGGACATCCAAGATTCATAGATTTGTCGGCGCGATTGTTCCTGTTCGGTGGGTATAGTGACTGTGTAAGAATGCAATGCAGTAGAAATATACTTTTATTTCATACCTGTATTTGTTGAATTTTCTGAAGGATGATTTTCAGTATCACACAGAACTACTGTTCGGTTACCAAAACCGTTAAATTTCCCTTGAAATTTGTAGTGACGGTCGGAAAAAGTTACAATGGAATAAGGCTAATGGTAATAGGGATCACAGTGAGGTGGCCTACTGCCATCAGCTGCCTCCCTAGATCTATGTATATACATATGCTACTTCTTATGAAGTATATATATAT